TGCTGAACTCCCTGCAGTTTGTAATGGTTTCCTCACACCGAGACCTCTAAACTGGACACAGGATCTAGACACAGTCTAACAGGTACCAAGTAGGAAGGGGATAAGCTCTTCCCTCGCTCTGCTGGTGCTGCTCCTTAGAGGTTGCAACACACAAAGTGTATGATTTAGCTTATCTGCTGAAATTGTGTTTAGCTATCATTTTCACCTGAGCAATACTAAATATTATTTAATACATACATATTCTTATCTTTAGTAATAACATTATTTTTACTATGTTTCCTTTCTACATTCTACTCCATTTTCAGCGTTTTCATTTTCACGATCAACTGTCCTCCTTTTCTTTAGCACTCACTTCTAAGCAACAAGACAACTCACATGTTAGGTTCTACCCTTTTTTACTATCTACATTTCAGAGACTTGAAATAAAAAAATAAGTGGTATGTAAGAAGGGAGCATTATACTTTGCAGAGACATTCCTTCAAGCTTTTTTCTTCTTTGATATACTACACTTCCGGTTTAAAGTAATTCAAGGCTTTGTGAAATTAACTTGACAAAAACAGGATTAGAAATGCCACCTGCTCATTCATGGTAACTTCAAATCATCATAGAATTGCTACGGTTAAATAACACAAACACGTTTGCTTTGATACTCCAGATTCAAGCCATGGGTACAACTACTAATCACTAAGTACTACGAAATACATAAATTATTTCAATGAACCTTTTTCTGCCCATTTTTCTATAAAAACAAGGGTGAGATTACCGCACTTCTTGTCCTCCCCCAAGCCCTTGATAACTTTGGAATTCATGAAGTCCAAACAACAGTGGCAAAGGAACAGACATCTCAAAAACATCAAATCAAGTAAATTAGAACTACCTTTAATGAAATACTGATAAATTATTTTGACAGTTCATCAGTCAGTTAACATGGGAAGAGCGATAACCAACATGTGCATACATCTCTAACTCTCAAGCAGACAGAGCTCGTTAATGTCTCCTGTCCATTCAGCAGTTGGAAGACACCAGAAGTGCAGAGCTGAGCAGTTTAGTTCACACAGGCAAAGCGGGAGGTATTAGAAGAACTGGAGATGTTACAGAGGTGAGGGGATATAGTACTGCATGATCACTAAGGATACAAGAGAAAGGCCAGGTTACTGCAGAAGGAAATTGGAAGTTCAGGAGAAGGAGAGGCCCACTCAGCAGAAACAGGACAGAACTCTGAAGGAAAACTGGCTATGTCAGCCCTATGCTTCACAGAGAATCTGCATTTCTTTTGTACTCAAGTTGCTGGGCCTTTGCATCCTCAAAAACTTCCAGCTAACTCCACAAACTAAACTGCAAAGAGATTTCATGGACAGAATTAAGACCATTTATAGAGAGTGGTGCCATCCACTTCATTGTACCACAATTGGAATCTGTAACATCATACAAATTAGGAAGGTGAACAAACCATTCTATTCAATTGATTTCATCATCTATAGAATAACTGCGTATGTTGCATGAATGCTTAATAACTACCGCAGGTATTTACTTCATAAATCCTTAATTATTGCTCAGAAAATAATTGAAGATGCCAAGATAAAAGGTACTAAAGAATTTGAAAGTTTGTATTTTAGAATTTTGCACCTCACCTTTCAGCACTGAATGCAGACTCTGTGTCAATGTATATAACAGCTCCATCTAGTCCTCCCATGCTTACAGGCAGTGTAGCCAGAACACTCATCATAATACAAAATTGAGTTTTACCACAACCTGGTGGGCTAGTTATCTGGAAGAAAAAAGATTAGTAACATAAACAAGAGATGGCATATTCATTTCACCCTAATTCTACTTTTAAGTAAGATCCATCAGCCAGAGCTCTTCAGATTCTGCCTTTCCAGTTACCAAAGGGGACAGCCTCAAAAAGAGAGAACACAGCCCACCAAGAACAACTGGCAGTTACTCTCAGATCTGTGCCTTGCACTCAGACTCATCTACTGCAGAATGAACAGTTCTTCTTCAGACACAGCACTATGCTTCTATTTTATTTCTTTGACATCCTTTATTACCTCTCACATTTGAGGTCCGCTACTCTCTGCCTCCTCTCAGATCTTCCCTAGAGCCACACCTAGCCCTCTCACATCTCCTTCTCTGTGCTACCTTCTAAAATCCAGCACAATTAGAAGATTCATAGTTGACATTCACATGACATCAACAGCCTTTACAGATGACAACAAAGCCCAGAGCTAATGAGTTCACAGATGCAAATGAGTGCTTAGGAATCATCATCACCTTGGTTACAACCAGGTCTCCCTTGAAAATCAAAAGGATAATCACTTCTGTCCTGTAAAGACTGAACGTTCTATATGAAGCCATGTATAAAAAAGACAGATTTTATCTGCTCCAGAGACTACGCTCTGCTATGCAGCATTTGTTTTGTCATTGGTGTTAACTCCCTGTTGCCATATTTCAACACGAACACCATTTAATGATCCAGATCAGCTTGCCAAACTTAAAGCTCTCACCTGTGCTTACTGAAAGCCTGCCACAGTTAAGCTGTGTTCAAAAAGAATACGTTCAGCTTGTGTGGAATGGTTCTAGTAACGATTTCAATCCAAGAGAAAAGCCAGAAGGATCAAAAGAATACATTGTTTAATGAGATCCCCAGTTTGAGGGCAAGATTTCTCTAGAGACAGAAGTATGCTGTTCTTTATCCACTGCAGATCTTGTAGAGATTGCAAATGAATGCTGGGCTCTGTACTCAGATAATCATGTGTTCATTACTAATACAGTGGGTCTTTAAATACGGTATCACATTGTCACTGCTTCCAGGAAGGGAGACGATGACATCTTAGATACTAAGAGGGCTGAAAATAGACAAATACAGAGTTTAAGTGACTCAGAGCACTAAAAACAGTGATGGGTTTATTCTGATGCTAGTAGGGACTACATAATAATGCAAGGCAAAAGTAAGCCTCTTAGGGAACCTAAACTGGAAAATGAAGCATGCCTCCTCAAAACACTTCGCCAAAGCAAAGACTTAAATCCAGAGCTGTGGCTTTAAATTAGAAGAGAAACCTTACGACAGACAGTCAAAAATCACACTGATTCTTGAGCCTAAATGCACAATTGTTTGGTTTCAAGTACAAACATCCTTTCACTACAAGATACTACAGTACTGCCATGGTTTTGTTCCAAGCAGGAGCAGCATGACTTGATACAGAGAAAATTTACAGGGAAACACTGAGGGACTGCATTAGCTACATATTAGCTACTGCTAACAGTTGATTAAAAACACTTTAATCATTTTTGTCTTTAAACAAGGCCTGAAAACCAAGTCATATCAGTCAATCTACTTGAAGCTTTAATGCAAGAGAAGCATTAGGTGACTTTTGTTTAGAAGCACACACCGCACTTAGTGAATTACAGATCAAGAATCAGTCACGCCTATACAATTATCTGTCCTCTATCCAGTGCACTTAAATTACAAAATATCCTGTCAACAAAAGCTGCCACATTTTACTATGAACCCAAACAATATATTTTTATATATTGCAGAGGCAATACACATTCCTCAGACGGTGATAGCCCAGGAGTCTCACCAGCTGTTTCTAGTTAAAAAGACTTGAATGAGGGGAGGGCGTCAATCCAGTAATCAGATTAAAGTGTTTGGACAACTGTGAAACCTCATAAAAATGTTTGTAGTTTCAGCCTTGCCTGGGAGGTGCATTGGAATCAACATCTATTTCAGTGGCTGGTGTAGAAGCTAATTCAGCAGAGATGCTGTAAAAATGTCTGAGGCTATAAGCGTCTTATCGGAGGAAGACAGGGAATCTTGCAGTACAAGCTAGTACAAGAAATCAAGGCAGTGAAGCGAGAAAGAATTTCGATTCCCAAAGACAACAATACTTCAGCTTTTATCAGCATTCCTTTAAAGAGCATTAAAATGTGATTTTAAATAATCCGCAGTGAACAATTTAAAGAACTATTACATTTTATTGTAGTTACCCCTGGTTCAGCAAGTGTTTTGAACTATACAATATTAGTTAAAAAACCACACCAAAATTAATTTAATGTAATTGGATGTCTGCGGAAACTTTGCTTAGTTTTACTCTAAATTTGCTGTGGAAAAAAAAATAAAAATCAAGTCCACCCAGATAGAAATGCTAAGACTACAACGGTTTTTAATTTATCTCTGCCTAAAAAACCATACTTTTATTTTTCAATAAGCCATATACTATTTTCTCTGGCACATCTCTAGGGTTTGGATGAAGTCACAAGGAGCTAATTCTTCTTCAGCTACCAGGGGATTAAGCTCTTCAATATTCACAAAGTCATTACTTTAATTTTTCCTCAGAGGAGTAGGCCAAAAGCTCTGACATCTGACCACAAAATTTCAGCTATGATTTAATTTTCAACTTAAAACCTAATAGTGGTTTGACAAAAAAAAAAACGGCCGAGACAGTGCAATGCAAATCAAATCCCTCTGGCACTCCAAAAGCACGCAGCCCTGGCTGCAGTAGATACCACCACAAGTCTTAACCCTGTGGCTCATGTACTCAAATTCCAAGTTTCCAACCACCCTCGCTGCTGTGTAAAGTAACAGGAAAACAATGATTCAGCCACCCTAGGCAGGAAGTAAGTGCTGCACACAACATACTTTTGAGGAGAACTTCTCTCACACTTAGAATATCTGCCTAATAACAAAAATTCCAAAGGGCAATCTGCTGGTCAACCATGCTCCAATAAGATGCAAAAGAGCAAATTATCAAGTTCCAAAGTCACTTGAATGTAAAAAGAACATGAGCTGAAAAGTGTTTGCAAGCTGCCAACAGACACTTGATAGCTTTCTACTAAAATTTCATCTGACAATCATGCTGAAGAACACTTGTACTGCTGCCAACCTTTGAAACTACTTCAGATCTCACGACGCCTGCAAAAATGCTTTAAAAAAAAATCTCCAGAACCAAGCTTTAAATGAGAAACTAGGTTTCTGTATAGTTAATTGTTCTCTGCCTTTACATTTGCTGAGAAACCCCTAATACGTGCTGTAATAGCATTCCACATTTAGTTCCTAAAAGGCAAATAAAAAGCAATACGCTATTTTTAAGACATGTCTAATCATAGAATCATAGAATGGCCTGGGCTGGAAGGGCCCTCAGAGATCATTTAATCCAACCTCCCTATCAGGGGCAGGGACACCTCTCAACTAGATCATCTCTTTAGTCATTTAATTTCTAGAATCTGCCTAGTTCTCTTTATAGTATTTCTGATTAAATAGCTACTACGCATCGGTATTATCAATTTGCCATGAGGGTGCAACCAAGACCAAGTCTGCAGTGTTTGCAGTCCTGGTCTCATCCACTAGATGTCTTGTATAGATGTCAACATCTGTCACTCAGTGACATCACCTACTGAAGATAACTGCATTAGGCAGGTCTCTGTATTTTTAACCAAAATAAGTTAAAATACATTCAGAAGGGGTTTTTTTCAGAAGAAAACTTGAAGTGTAACACCATTCCCAGCACAGTGCTTTCTTTTTTCCAATCATATAAAAATTCAGCCTAGCTTTGAATATATCTTTAAATACATCAATAAATATAGAGTATGATCATTTTTAAAACAGTGTTTAGTAACAGTTTCCCAGAAGAAATAAACATTTTAGAGAAACACTTGGGAAAAAAAAATATTAGAAATGGAGTACTGTGCTAATCAACCAAGTATTACAAAGCACATAGCTCTGGGAAAATAAGCTTTTGCATTTACTTCGTAAAGAGCATTATTTTATACCATCTCAGGAAAATGATATTTGGATTTCATGATTTGACATCCATTGCTTGCAGAACTTACAAATATAAATAAATAAAACAAAACTTAGAAGTCAAAGGTTGGCTAAAGTCCAAGTGAAATTCTCAGCCTGTCAACCACTGCTCTTCCTGGATCTCCCTCTGAAACAATGCCAAGAACATGGCAATAGCCAAGGTTAACAATCAGTGCTCCAGCGCCATTCGTCTTGCCTCGTCTTCAGGCAAGAACATGTCAGAGAGACTGCACTAATACTTGAATGCTAGCTACACTTAGCAATAAGGAAAAAAAGACAAATATTCATGACATTGTTATCAGCAGCCTTGTAAATTAACTCTGTGGCACCTCTAACCCAACAGGATCACATTCACTTACTTTAATTAGGAAAAAATGTTGCATGATCCTACAATGAAAACTTTTACATTCTGGTCACCTTTTACTCAAAATTTCAAAGCCGTCCTTGTTTTGGGCACCACTTGTGAGCCAGTCAAAGGTTCAACGATAAGCCAGCACATCACAGAAAAGATGCATCTCTCTTCTACTTCTCTTGTGCCTGTGCAGCAGTAGAAGCACAATGCAGAAGTCTAAGCAGCACACAGGAAGCGTATGAACTGCTGTTCTCTGCCTTCACCAAGGACAAGCTAGCAGATCAGATAGAAATCCCAGAATGCCAGATCCCAGCCACAAATAAGCACCATTTCTTTTCAAACACAGGCTATGCTATTTCATCAGCTGACTGCATGAACAATAATACAGAAGAAAAGGAGTCAAAGTATGCCTAATGCAGCCACTGCTTTCCTGATAAAAATATTACAAGGAACCAAAACTTCATCTCCTGCTACAACAGCACCAGAGTTACAATTTCGGGATGCTGCACATCCCACTGCTACTTGTAAGAAGAGCTCTTCTTCAGTGACACAGAATTTAGCAAGTCTTTCTCCCAGAGTTTAAAGACTTGCAGTACTCAATTTTAAGTTCTTCTGATCCTATATCCTTATAGTAAATTGGTAAAGCAAAGTAGATTTCTTTAAAAATAAATAAATAACCAAAACAAACAAATAAATAAAAGCTAGGACACAATATGAAGCAAATATTCTGATAGATCAATAAGTTCATGGATGTGCTCTTAAAACATTTTTATGAAGACTTGAATACAAAAAAGAAACAGAAGTTTTCCAAAGTAATATCCTCTCATTATGTAAGAGTTTACTAGAGCAGAAACTGTTACAGTCCAAGTTCAGTGCTGCTTAAACACTAATACGTTTTAAGTCACTATCAGATTTCATAAGTGATTCCTATCTGAGATCAAACCAAATCTGCTTTTTCCACAGCAAGACTTTTCATAACTTCTCACTGCTACTCCTCTACTGTGGCAAATTGCCACAGTAAACAAAAGCACTTGGTAAGGACTGTTAAAGCGTTCAAGGAAAAAAATGGTTTCAGTTTATCTAAATTCAGAGCATGAGGCACACAACATTTATTTTTCCATTCATTTCAAGGGCATCAATGAGTTTAGAACTTTAGGAGGGCAAGTGTGGCCACACTGCATAAAAGTAACGTCCATCTAACAACAGATGACTAGAGGAGTAACCAATGAGTTTAGAACTTTAGGAGGGCAAGTGCGGCCACACTGCATAAAAGTAATGTCCATCTAACAACAGATGACTAGAGGAGTAACTGCAGAACAGGGCACACACATACTAATATCGCCTCCAGTACAAACGTTTCTCCATTTCCATTTGTAGCTCAACAAATGCCTAAGCCTGAGACTGCATCTTTGCATTTTTATAATACTCAATGACTCTTAGGAGCATCTACACAAATCCCATCTTTCCAGATCACAGGAACTACATGATTTGTTAGCCCTTCCTGCGAGGCCATGGAGAAATTCAGGTAAGGGAAGATGAAGTACTCCCTTATCGTTCAAAAAATATTCTAAGCAAAAACACAGCACTGCAAACAAGGTCCAGAGAGTGACCCAGTTACAGATAGATGTGCAATTTGTAGTGTTGCAATGTATGCACATAAACAAATACAATCTTTTTTAAAAAGAATGCATTAGAACCTCATAGCATATATTCATTTTATTTATATATAAAAGCTCTGAAAAGTCATTCTCATGCTTATATGCTTTGCACTTTTGTCCTAACTGCTTACCGTATCTTCATAAAAACCAATGACTTGCTAAAGTCAGAGTGAGTATTAAAAGGACAGACTGCTGATTAAGCACCTTGTGCAAACCACAATGCAACCTTCCTGCTGTAAAATCCAGCCAACAATTCTCCCAGATTTCCTGGGAAAATCGTCACTTCTTCAGAGGAAAACAAGGTCACCAAATTTTTTAATTCCTTCATTTATTTACTTAGAATACATAAAGAAGTGCAGCCTCCACCAATTAAAAACAAAAAAAAACAAAACAAAAAAAACTCCACAAACATTTCTCACTCAAAATTTTTGTATATTTTGTGTTTAAAGTACCTGACACAAGACAGTCCAACTTATCTCTGATTTTTGACTTCTAGGCATAATACACAACTGTAGTAAAAATACATTAAACAAGTTACCTCAGTGAGGGATCCACAGGGCACCCCCCCATGCAAGACTTTATCCAAACTGTGCAGCGTGGTGGATAAAAAAGCTGAGGAGGGGTTGACAGACTTCTTCAGTTTCATTTCATAAGCCTACAAAAGGAAGGAAAAAAGTAAAAGAAAACAAACACACAAATCAGAAAAATGCTTGCTTTTTGAAATGGAAACAGCAAAACTGCTCCCGTTTGCTTTCATGATCCTGGAATGACTTAACGCTTGCCAATGAGCAAACTCTTCCTGTCTTCAGCTATAGTCCTATCTTAGCTTATCACCCTTCCTCATATTTATATCCTATTTATAGATCGTAGAGTAAATTTAAAAGTTTGCTGTGTCTCCCTCACCACAACATTAAACCATAAGCCTTTAATAATGATACGTCAAAGGTTTTCTCTGTACCTATTCAACACGGCTTGCTTTCAACCTGTAAAACTCCAAATTCTAAATAGGTAAACACTGTAAGCATGGTTAGTGACAAATGCAGAACACTCACATGAACCCCCGGCCAACCTTTGTTTCCAATTGGAAACTACCTGGACTGAAGCAAAAGGTTTGCTAAAGTTTCCCAAGTCTTTTTCCTATAGCAACTCAAAATTTTTCACTTTGATGAGGAAGACTAGTCAAGAAGACAGGATAGGCAGAGAACTGAATATAGCTGGAATTCCAGTAATCCAAGTGAATGAAAAACTACCATATCCTTAGACAATCTTTTCCAATGGCAACTTACATTATTTTCTTAAGACTTTCTTACTACTTCCCATTTCAGGGAAATTTAATTTTTTTTTAATTTCTCTTACAGCCACTGGATCTTAATCAGCTTTTTGTCCAGCTAGGCTCTAGAGACTTGTAAATAATTATTTTTTTCTACTCAGCATATTACGTGATGAAGTCATCCCTTAACTAACTTCCTCTCTGATGAGCTCAGTACGTTTCACCCTGTACTTCATACCATGAGGCAAGTTTTCCAGAAATCAGAGTTTTACTGTATATCTTGGCACACTCTCAAGTTTTGCTGTCAGTGCTTCCAGCATTGGACAGCATTTTCCCCTTATTTATAATTTCTATTATCTATTTTTTTTATTTCTTTTTTCTCCTCAGAGATACTGTCAAACCTTCTTGCTGTACCAGTCATGACATTACATCAGTCACTCTGACCTGAAGTCCATTTGAAATCCTGCATTTGCAAAGATTCAGTCTGTAACCCTTAAAACCAGCTGACACGCTCCGTTTCTGGAAGTATAGGTCTGTATCGCAGACACTTACAGAGCTGGTCATCAGTCACCTGGCTCTGCATTAACAGTCCTTGACAGCCCCTCTCTGACAAGCTTCAGTACCTGCCAAGCTTCTCAGCAAAGAAATTCAATTGGGTGTGTGGATGACAGGCAAAACCAAATGCCAGAACCCTGCTTAAAACTCCCATCTGTCTTCAATTCATTGATTATTAGCAGTTATTGATGGGAAACTAGTAATTAGCTACCTTTTAATCAATTCCTTATAAATCATATTAACTCTGTGCAGCATGAACTTTCAGGCAGTATGTTTGTGCATATAAAAAGTTTCACAGAGATACTGCTACAATTACTTCGCCAAGTATACATAATAAACTTTGACATGGCTTCTTTTTTACCAGGGGAAGAAAAAGTCAGCTGCACTGACACAGATCAGAACTGATCATGTCCTCTCCATTCTAAAAAGACACCATTTTAGACATCTTTTCACCTAAATTCAAAACAGAAAAAATCCAGCTGCACTGCAGCTAACATCTGTTTTCTTACTGCACTCTCCCCAGTAATGCTACCTGCAGCCTAAACCACACTACAACTCATTTACGTGAATGGAAAAAATTCCTCAAGAAGTTATTTTCAGGATCATTGCATTTCTTGGAACCAATTTTATGCCTAAAATCAATTTATACAGAAATTCTCATTCTTTGCTTACATTAAACAATGCAGGATCCAAACTAGAAGCAATTTTTATATGCTGGATTGCAAGAGACAACACCATATTTCCCTACTGCACTCAGAACAGATTCTGCAAGGCTGAACAACCTCTTGAGGCTATAATGCCTAACAAAAAGCCACCGCATCAAACTAAAGAGCCTCAGATATCTAAATTTAAATATGGAAGTAGTATTTAATTGTGAAACTAAATTGAGACATCACAAACCTCCCAGGTAAAAAGGTCAGTGACACTGGTTAGCTTTTTCCCAGATACTGAAACAAAACCGGAACCAACACGAGCGTACTTACTGTCTGCATTTTGGGAGCACAAGCTCGGCTGACTTGACACAGAAGTTTCTGCACATCGTAGTAGCTCTGTCCTGTCACTTTCATTAGCTCCAAGAGGGAAAGACATAAAAAGTCCTGAAAGATGACAGAACACCTCAGAGAGCTCAAACTAGAAATTAAGACTGGGAACTAAACTGATGCAATTTGTACACAACGAGTATGTATCATTTCCACAGGTTTACCAGCTGTGCCATGTTGTACACTACCATGCTATACCCCTCCTACCTTTCTCTGATAGGGGTATATTAAAAGAAACCATATCTGTATTTTAAAAGACATGGAGTCAAAGGACCAAACATTTAAGAACTGTGTGATGGAACTGTAACAAGAAAACACCTTTTTGTTTACAACAGCCTCTATCTACCAGAAAACCATTCAAAATACATCACGTCTTCTAGAGTGCAGTTCTAGGGCTAGCTCCTGTATTTATGATGCATACTAATGAAACATATAGGGCCTCTTGGCTCTCTTAGGTGAGCATTCACAAGAATTCCTTCAGAACATACTGCTGAAACAACCCATAATTCACAGTGAAACATCACAGCACATTCACACACTAGACTGTGAGGTGTACGTGTGTTTTTGTGAAATGTTAACAAATGGATGCCTTATTCCATACAAGTAGTAGCTGCACACCCCTGCTAAAATAGAGCATCTTCAGGTTCTTTAGAAGTGAGGGTAGTAAGTGTATACGAGTCTAAATAGTTTAGTTCAGTGTATATCATTTTAAAGCTATATTTTACAAGGCACCAGGGCAGATGAAGATGGAAATGCACCCTGCTTTCTATAAAGTAAACCTCCCTTTAAATTAAAACTACAAAAAAAGTAATCAGTACATGCATTAAAACACAACACACTCACACCACCCACCTCCTCCCTCCCCAAAAAAATAAAACCAGCCCCAAAACAACACCCCACACAAACACAAACCAACGCTTTCACCTGACAGGTAGTGATCTGATGGCGACTCAGCCTTTCACAGAGCTCTTGAGACAACCTTGCTCGTCTTAGTTTCTTCGCAGCCATGTTCCCCAACCTACAGGGCAAACAAAAAAAAAACCAAACCACAAAACATTTGAAAGATGCTTGGAATATGACTATGCAGACAATTACACTCTCTTCTCACTAAAGAATAGGAAAGTGTGCACACACGTGTGTGTATACGAATTTTAATGTGATTCAGACTTCCTCTACAAGTCTATGTCACATTAAATTACATTACCACTCTGGAAAGCAGTTATTTTAAATTACACTGCCCCATATCTGACCATGTATGAGATCATGCCCGTAAGAAGAGTCAGCAATGTTTATAGAACACATGTTGCTTGTGACATAAGAATTGCTGAGTAATTTCCAGCTTTAACTCCTCCTGCTGTACTGCACTGGAAAGAAACAAAGTTACCTTTGGATGCCTAAACACCAATAGTAAGAGCAGTAAACATTTAGTCCTGCAACATATACTGCTACAACAGGACTCTCACTTGTGGTGATCCAGGAAAGAACATTAAGGACCCAGAAAGGAGACACCCGAAAGACTGAAGAACTGGAAACATACTTTAGCTCAAAATGGTCAAACTCAACTCATAACCTTCTATGTAACAATTTATGAAACAAATACAGTTAATAAAGAGTTGTTTAATTTAGTCAACAGCACAAAACAAACCAGAGGCCAAGGCTAAGAATATAAATACAAGAACGACAACAGAAATACTATTTTATTTTAAAAGTGAACTAAAACACCACTGGACCAAGACAGCACCGGTTGTGGTATATCCAGTCACTTAAGCACATTGTATTTATTGAGATTCCCGTTTAAAGAGTATCTGATTATTTCAGATTAGACTTCAGACTATTTTCTGTAGCAGATAAGCTTATGTTGCCCCTATGAATCCTTCCCCCCTCAGGCATTTGCATTTGTCTGGTTTTTTTGGTCACGTCCTTCTGACCAAAACTCCACAGGATGGTGTCAGCTCAGCACAGCCTAAAGCACACATGTTTTCCTAACCCACGTGTATGCCTGAACACATAGCTCTTGCACAAGTATCACTGAGACAATATTCCTAGGGCTTATTTATTTTGCCTAAGCTTCTGGCTAAAAAGTTTTTTTTAATAATTCAAAATTGCTCTAACTTTTGCAGCTGCGCAGGCTTCCACATCTTTACAGGATGGAAATCTTTCCACCTCCTCTACAAAATCCTCTTTAGACAGGAGGGAAAAAATGTTTTTAGGAGTTCAGTGCCCTTCAAGTTAGCAGTTATATTAATAACCACTTCCAGAACCACAGGATCAGTTTAAGTTGGAAAAGACCTTCAGGGTCATCGAGTCCAACTGTTAAGCCAGCACTGCCCAGCCCACCACCAAACTGTGTCCCTAAGCACCTCCATTTCTTAAAATACCCCC